CATTCCGGGAGAGACTGCAAATTGACTGTTTAATTGCAGCGAACTTGCATTCTAGATGTCAGCGACAACATATGCATCGGGCAGCCATCGCCTTTGGGGTCTCATCTGGACTGTCAGGATGGGTTTGCGGAAAGCGGTAGGTTTAATTAATAGCTTAATATTTGGGATGTCATAACATATTTTGCTATAGAGTTATTAAGAAACATTGAACCAATAATAATGCACTCTAAACCAATAGAAGTTTTATATTGTTTAAGTTTTAGACTTTATTTATATCTCTTTAGGGCAAGACGGTATTCCTGATGGTGTTTTCTGCCTTTGTTTGTGTCAAATATATATTTTGGATTTTAGAAACTGCTCCTGGAAGTGATTCAACCAAGGTGACCTTTGAAGCAGGAAACCATTTTGGCAATTCGTGTGATCTTCTTCGTCATTCTCACTCCCTTGAGAACTTCAACTCCTCCTGGCCTAAAATGGTGAGCCAATCATTTCACTTACGCTTTTATTTTGTCAAGCGTCAAAAGTAATTTGCATTTAGCAAATATTTGAGGCCTCTGAAGCCACCAACCAACAGCATCCTTCTTGGAGGACGAACATCAAAGTGGCGTCCCGCCATGCGTGTCAAAGGCGTCGGCATAGCTTTAAGTGTGACTCGCTTACCGCTACGACTGTCAGGCGCTGGAAGCGCAAAAGGAATAGATGGGGGATTCCCCCTTACATTTTTTTTTTTTACCCCTGGCGTTTTTGCGGTGCGAAGGCGTCAAGAGTGAAGCCGTCAACACCGGCGACGACGTGGCTAAAATGAGTTTTCAACTCAAGTGTTGCCAGGACTTAGCCTCCGGCCAAGCAGAGGGGCTAATTTTTTTGATGGATTTCACGGCATGTCCTTTTTTGTGAGGGGGAAAGGTCCCACGAGGAGAGGCATCGCTTATGGTTGCTTTATCGTGGTCGTTCATTATTTGTTCAGTTGGCAAAACTTTAAAATTGATGCGAATGCAGTCGACAATTCAAAGCACAGGAAAAAATTATTTGTGCATTCGGGAAAGTGTTCTTTTATTCAAAGAGATAACTACTGAGATCTATTATAAGCTAATACATGTATGATAAATTCTTATATAAGTTATAGTCTTATATATTTTTGTGTTTAAGATGGCATTCTGCAAAATGTAAATTGTCAATAAATGAGAATGGATAGTTGCTATTAGTTCTATTACTTTCTGTGTACACCTTTTTCAACTTTGGGATTGATCGGTCTTCGAGTTATTGTCTCGCTCGCGTGTAGGGAAGCCATAGCTTGGTGTGGTTTTTAAGCTGGCTTTCCCGGGAAAGCGGGCTAGGATTCGGTGAGCGGCAAGAACAGAGGCTTCGCCTATGGTCCTTGTTGTTTGCTTTGAATTTTTCAAATCGCCCGTCCCAACAACAACTATTTGGCAAAGCTGTTTCCCAGCCACCCGCCACTGCAGAGCTCCACAGCAGCAGCTCCTGTGCATTTTGTTGCACTTCCCCAGTGGATGTCCCCGCGGGTGGTTCCATAAATTGTGCAATTGATGGGCGGAGAGCGATTCCATTAAATGCTGATTGGAGCTAAGTTGGTTCAGAAGTTGCCGAGGCCATAGTAGTTTTCAGTACGTAAAATGTTAAGAGAATTGTTTTAGGAGGGCGCCTCTCCTTATTTTATTTGTTTTTGAAGAGTTATATGAGTTAAGCATAACTTCAAATGTTTAGTTACAAACTTGACTAAAATTCTCAAGCCTATAAAATGTTAAACAGAAATAAATTTAATTAATTAAAAAAGATAATGAATACGTTGCATTTTTTAATAGTTTGAAACATATTACAAATAATATATTCGTATATTATATTTTTCTATTACCAATTTAAGATTGTGGCGCACTTCTGGAAACTTGCTATCCAACCCTCTGGCACCTTTTACGCGCACACATTTTGTTGCAAACTTTTTAGCATTTTTAAGCATTGGAGCTGTGCTGGGAAAAACCTCTTTGTTTTGCTTTTGACGATGGCTCTGTCTCCGCTTCGGCTTCCCACTGCTGCCCCAACCTGCTCCCCCTTTACCACCTGACACACGTTGGGTGCACAATGCGCACGTGTTCAATAACAATTGTGTTGCATACCTTAGTGCGCCAGGACAAAAGGATGGCATTAAATTTTAAAGCTGAGCTCACACAGGCATTGCCGCGCAACGCGTCAAACGATTTACAGCAAATCAATTAGAGCTAAGAACTTTTCCAGCGCTAATTGCAAGAGATTTTCCTCGTCTTCTGCTGCTGCTGCTGGTGGTCCTTCTCTTTTTCCTCCTCGACTCTTGCAGTTTTCCCGAATTTTCTTGTTGACTTAGTTGCTAGAGACGAAAGCGCAGCGAGGCAGCCAAAAACGGAGCATGAAAATAAAATAAGTTCCAGATGGACAAAGGAAACGCCTCATCCCCAGCTCCCGAGGAGTTGGTTGAACAGAATTGGCGAGGATTTATCATGGAGCACTTTTGTAAGGCTTTTCGGGCCCTTGCCGGCCATGTCTGCATTGCGTATTTCCTATTCGTGCAGTCTAAATTAATGTGCAAGCCTTTTAATTACACGACAAATAAGCAAACAGCCCAAAAAACTTTTCCTCACTTTGTGAGAACTTCAAGATGAAAAGCGGCGAGTGAGCCATGGGAAAAAATCACAGAGTCCGAGGGCTGCAAGGTTTCCTAATTTGATTTTGAGAAACTACAGTTTTGTATTCAATTCAGCATGGTGATGGAAAAAATATCTATGCAAAATATATTTATTAAAAATTCTATTAACCTTTTCTCCTAATCAAATTTACTATTATAGTCAAACTATTAATTCTATATACAATGCACATTCTATTTAATTATCATAGCTTATTCATGTCTTTTGAACTTACTTTAATAATAATATTTTCCTTACGATGTACATAACATATATTAACTTTCTTGGTCAAAGAACTTTATTTCGCTAATTAAATGCTATATTGATTTATTCACATTGTTGGTATTTCGAAAGCCTTAGTTCATTAGCCTAAATTGACTTGCCATCCCTGATTAGCCTGTAACATTAGTTTGGTTTACAAGGCTCAGTGTGTGTGTGTGTGTGTGAGTGTGTTTTGGCCACTAATTAATTTGGCTTTGACTGGGAGAGTTGAGAAATCGCCGCATGCCTTTGTTGACAAATATTTCTTGAGGCCAACGGCAATGCGGTTGATTCACGATTTTCTTTCGCCGTCCTCCGCCTGTCCAATCCGAACTTTAAATGTAAAATCGAGAAAAAGTTTATCAAAATGCTGCTTAATCAGCTTTATTTACATTGATAGCATTTCCATTGCATTTTTGCAGGAAGGGGGAAAAAAAGAAAGCCAGAAGGAAGCAGAAAAGGAGTACGAGGGTGGAAGCTCAGCACGGCGTAAAATGCATTAAAAGCGAGGCAAACAAGTCTGAGGGGGAACTGGAGCTCTCGCAGGACTTTTCCCACCGCACCTCATTCAAAAGTTATGCATTTTCAAGTGTCTGGGTGAAGGTCCTGACACTGAAAGAAATAGTAAACGTATAGTATAGTATTTTGAAAGTAAATCATAGCTTATTAACCCAATATACTATGAAATCACTGGGATAAGTAAACCTAATAATAGTATAAAATATACTTGTTAGTCATTTCATATTTTATTTGTTAAATGAAATAAGTAACTTATAGATGAATATATAAATATTAAAATATGCTACATAAAAGAAGTACTATTTCAAACTTAATTAATTGACCTGTGACCAATTTTGTCCAGTGTCTTGTGCAGGGAAACTGCGGTCCGAGATCGGGATCGGAGTCGTCCCTGTTCCTGGCTGCTCCTGTGGCAGCTCCTCCTGCTGTTTACAAAGCTACTTAATCGAAGTGCTGCCGATGCCACCGCCGCTGGCATATCCTGCATATTCCTGCCGCAGCCCCTTCGCCGACCGCCACTTTCTGTGTACATTAAATGCAAAAATGTTTTTTACTCTTCGGTCCGCAGTCTTTTTTTGCGGAGTTGTGTGCATCCATTTGCTTTCTGTTTGCTTCCGGTTTTCATTAATGGTCTTAACATAAAAATACAATTTGCTGACGTTTAACTGGTTTGGCGGACGTTAATAAATTTTTAAGCGTTGTTTGATTTAATTTTTTCGCCACCATTTCTGTGACTCCCCGAAATGTGCCGGGTATTGATTGATTGCCCTGCCCCCGGAGTGTTGCGAGTTGGGCAAAGGTGTTTGGTGTTGGTTAAGTGTGTGGCCTGGAGGGGTTTTCCACCTGATCACCCTTCCAATCAATCTGTTTACGCTTATGGATTCGCCAGCCGGATTATTTGCACTGGGGAGTACTGGGATAAACACCGAAATTGCTAAGCCTTTGTTTGGGGAGGCCAAGATTTGAATCAGCTTATTGGGTAAATTAATTTGGTAGTCCCAAGGAACAGAATAGAATGATTTAAAACCTTTAGAATCAGAAGTAGTAATACCAATTGCCATGCGTGAACAGTTCAAGGACATAAAGTGGTCCTTCGAGCCGAATTCCAGTCAGTAATAATACCAGATAATACCAATCAGTATTGAGAAGCAGGAGCCTAAATGCCCAGGAGTACGTGGCCGTGGTGAAATATGAAACACCTAAACTTTAGATCCTAGTATCACCGGATCATGGGTCACTGAATAGCGATAACGCCTAGTCGCCTAATATTGGAAGTATATTATTATTATTGAAGTTATATTATGAAATTTTATTGTAAATTGGTCATTATATGATAAAGTCACTACAAATATTTAAAAACAGTGCTTAATTACTGGCAGCAGACTAGAATTAGTCGAAGACTAGTAACTACTAATCAATGCCAAGCCGATAAACATGGGATGGATTTATATTTAATAATAAGGTGTATACAGAAGAGAAAATACGACATTCACTTCTTGTTTGGATTTAGAATAACAAAAAATAAGTCAATTATTTATTGATCCCATTCTGAAATTCACATGAATTCACATTTAGCGTTTCCCAAATAAATACATCTACAATATTCCTGTTTGCTACAGCCTAAATGGTATATAAATGCAGGTAAAAATCCCAGGATTGACCTATATCACGTGCATTGTAATCCTGATGACTGTCATCAACCTGCAATATAACTCTTGAAATTTTTAATTAGCACAATAAACTGTCAAATGTTGCTGTTAATTCGATTAAATTGTGGAAACAATATCCTGATTGTGGGCAAACTGACAGCGCTGGCAATGGCAGCGTTCGGGAAAATCGGGAAACTGTGGAAATTGGGTGAGTGAAGAGTGGAAGTCCTCTGCAACAGTACTGCACCTGTTACTGCACCCGCCCGAGTTTCCCCAGTCTCCATGATTTCCTCACACCCCCATCCTGCATCCGGCGTCCCGTCAGCCTTTTCATTTAATTGCGGTTGACTTTTGGGGTTTTGACTTACACAAGGAAATCAGGAAGGGAGTTCTGGGGGAAAGCCCTCCCCCCAATTGGCAACAAAATGCCAATCATCAATCAAGGTGATTTGTTTCAATGCCCCCCAGCCACACATTTCACGCTGTTGTGCATTTCAGAATGGACAGACACCGATAGCGGTCGAGGGGTTAAGAGGGGATCCTGGTTGGTGCTTTCGGAGGAAGCGGAATGCGCAGGGCAGGGTATGCGGAGGTTCATTCGGACAGGCACATGTGGCCAATCACTTGCATACACTTCAATTGCTGTGGTTTACTCACTCTGCTCCGCCTCTGGTAACCAGTTTATGCGGAGGGTGCCAATCCTTGAAACATGGTTGGTCCATGACACCATAAAAGTTGCTCATAATCAGTTGAAAAGGAAGATTGAAAGGGGCTAGGTTTTGGTTTCCTAAGATTTGTAATAACCTACTTGGTGTCATTATTCATAGCAATTCTTTGGAATTATTTATATTTACCTTTAGATGTTAGTTCTGGAAATTCGTCTGCGCATAAACGAAGTAGCTGTGTCTCCCGCCCTAGTGTTGTTGTTCATCAATGAATTCAATCACGAAAACGCTGCCCCATTTGGCCGAGTCCCTTTCTCCGGTGTCTATTCATACACACTCAAACAGTCGAACACTCGAACATCCAAACACTCGCACTCATCCGACAACACTCCTTGCCACACTCATCCATTCGTTGCATATTCATGAGTCAAATGCTGGCCGCCTTGTTTGACGTGACTGACGTGGCTTTGATTTAATTGCCTTGATTTTCTCTATAATTTATTTTAAGACCTATCCTCCAGGCACAGACCTGCCAGTATTTTCTTACCACCAATGGGTTTCATTTCAGAATTTCTGGCCTAACTATGAAGCTTGTATGATTCTGTATTCAGTAAAGTTAAGGTGAAGGTACAATTGAATTCAAGCAACAAAATCAAATGTATATAGTTTCCCTATAAAGGAGTATTTGCTCTTTCAAGCTGCCTAAAAGGGCAGAGATATTTTTACTCTTATCCCCCCATCCGTTGCTCCCTCTGGAAAACCGCAACAACACATTTTTAGCGCTTTAAAAAAAAGTTGCGAGGCTACTGTTATTTTCACGCGCCGCTCACTCCCGTCGCCATTCCGTGCACGCCAAGAAAAATAAGAAGGAAAACTTGCTGTCTGCGGGTCTCCTCCATCGCCTTCCGCCCAACCCCCACCCAATTTCCACCCGCTCGGTCCCTCGCTTGCAGCCATGTTTCATACACTTTTTACATATATTTTTTTAGCACGCTTTTTTAAATTCCGAAAGAGGTGTGCGCATAAATTTTTTGGTGCCCTGCAGGCGAATTCTTTATGCAGGATATTCCGCAGCAGCAAAAATGGGAGGTTAAAGAACGCGGAAGAATGAAGGAAAGTTGGGAACTAAATTCGGATTAAGGCCAGACTGATTGTAATTTGATTTGGCTTTCCCGCCGCACCTTCTACCGCCTTCTACTACCGATTTTGGTTATTTCATTTTCCAGGCGACAACAAATGTCATTTCCTGTCGCCGTGTGATTTGTGACCCGAGAAATCGTAATCGCACTTTATCTATTAGTTACATTTTCTTGCCACGCCTCCATCGGGGCTACCCGGTCGTCCTTTAATGAAATTTACTCGGGTCGCCCCGTTTTCTATTTACTTTTGTGGCATGAAATTAATAAAGGACCTCGATTCCCCTTCCCGTTTCCTTTACCGTTTCGATCGGCAGAAGGCCAAGTGGAAACTTAATCCCCAAGGAAATTATGTGAAAAATGTGCGTTGGGTTTGGCTTTTGTCCGGCATTTTCCTTTTCCTCCCAGGTTTTGTATTATTTTCTTGTGTTTTTTATGTTTTTCTTTTTTTGCTTTGCTCTAAGTTGTTAAGCGGCGAATAGCAGTAAATATTTTTGCTGGTTGGCTTAAAACATTCAGCGTATGGCCGGAAATACAAACTAAGGGGAGTAAGGGGCGGGGAGATGAAGGGTATATCAACAAAAGCAACGAAACCCCTTTTTCATTTCGTATTTGGGGCTGTCCTTTGCCTTCAGCATCTCCCGAATTGGAGGTTCATTTTTAAGCTGCGCAATTATCATTAAGTGGTTGCCGCTCCTGAAAGTCAGGGGCGTCGATGGGAGGTTAAGAAAAGGGGTGACTGTCTAAAAGTTTGGTTACATACATTTCAAAATTTCTTTTAAAGCAATTCTGTATATAAACTGTCAAACTTTGAACTTAAATAATTTTAAATGTGTGGCTGGGAAAGTAATAATATGAATTGAACCTTATACACTAATTTTTAAATATTTACAAATTCACAATGTTTGTAAATATTTATGTGTCCAAGTATTTATTTATTTGTAGTATGAAACACCCCCTTTCACCCTTAGTGTGGATCGAGGAAAAACTCCACCTCTGCCTTCTTAACAGCATCCTTTTTTTAGGGACTCGTGGCATGTCTCCTCCTCTTATTTTTTACATGGTTCGTTTTAGGATTTTTTCTGGTAATTGTATAAAGGTTGCCGGCAATTTTGTTCAATTTGTATGAGTCCCTTTTTTGCTGGCTCTTCGTGCGGATGTTTTACGTAACGGATAATTTGTGAGCCACACTGCGTATAAGTTATGCGATGACTGCATAATCCGGCTAACACATGGGTTTAGCACAAGGGGAGATACCTACGTTTGATAGATAGATTTACTCCTTGGAGAGGGGAAGGAAGGACTTCGTCTAATCAGGACAATTGTCTTTGGTCCTTTGTGGACCTCCTCAGACTGTCCAAAGTGTCAATTACAGTCCGCCACGTGGACGCATTGAGGCGGGTCAGGTGGAAATTATTGCGAGGCACTGGGATATGGAAATTCACCTAATGCTTATGTAATTGTCAGTTCATTGTTTTGGTCCAGACATAACGTACTAATTAGGCAGCAGCATACGCAATTAATTAGCTGAAATTTAACGTGAGACTAAAATAGAGACAAAGTATAACATAATCATAAAGTTGCAACACTTTGAATACATTTACATAGGGCAAGCCTTTGGGTAAGTTTGCTCAGAGCTTGAATGAAATATTGTAAAACAAGTAATTAAGAATATCCATAGTTAATTATGAAATATTTCTATTTACTCTCTGCTAAGTTCTCACAAAGAAGAACTTTAGTTTCGGAAACAAGTCAGGCCTAAGAATATAATTAAAGAAAACGTAATCAGAATTAAGCCATCCAGAAATTGACTTGGCCATTGTGTGCGATAATTAAATATTCCGAATTAAATCCTTGGGCTGGCCATCGAATGCACCTAAATGTGCGCCAGGTCAGAGACCCTCACCCTGCGATCCGCATGACCCTTTCACCTGGCACTCGGCACCTGTGTGCAATCTCTGTTTTCTGTTTCTGTTTTCCGTCTTTATTTCATTTTAATTACATTGCTTTTAAATTTAACATTGCTTGGGGGCATTTGATGGCCGGCTTCGGGGCTCTGGCAGTCAAATCAGGCGTATGATAAATTGATTGCAAACGCATATACACACATAAGGACGGTCTTATTCATGCATGCATTTATGTGTATATAGTGAGGTATTTATAAATGTATCTGCTGTGCGTGTCTGGCATTGGGACTTCTGGGCTCCGGTCTGCTCAATCAGAGCTTTAATAAAATGTTATGCATAAATTGCCTTTAATTGAATTACATTTAATTATTCCGCCAGACATTTTGCTGAGAGTTTGTTGTTGCCAGAATGGATGCTGTTTCTGGCTCTTGATTTGATATAGCCAATATTGTTGTCCAAATTAATGTCCTCGTCCTGCTCCGCCAGTCCTTTCTTTGCTTCTGTCTTTGGAAACGACTTAATATTGAATAATGTTGTTAAGCAGTTAATTTATTAAGAATGCTAATAGGATTATTTAATGTTTGCGGACAGACATTATTATCTTTACTTTCCGTAAATTATGTCTTTAATAGCAGTGCTATTTTATTGGACTTATTAAATTAATCAAGGATAATTTCATTATATCCATAATTTAACTATAGCCATCTTTAGATTTCTTAAATAATCAGAAAACAGAGGCTAATAGCATTCAATTGTGATTAATTATACATCAATTATTTAATGAATTTAATATGAATGAAAACCACTTGATTTTTCAACTAAAGATGTTGTTCTAAGTGTATACAACTGAATCTGAAAGTGTAATTAATTTTAAACTCACCATTAAAGCGATCTTCCATTAAAATCGAAGTTTTCGTTTATCCCAAAACCAAAGAGCGGCCGCAGAGCAACGGACCGACAACCGCCGAAACATTTCAAAGACAAGCCACCAACAGCAGAAACACCATCAACATTCAGCAACACCACCAACACTACCACCAACAACCCCAACACCACCAAGGACACCTACAACGACAACAACAACAACACAAGGACCATCAGCGGTGCGGATGACGACAATGGATTAACTCAAACTCAAACCTTGTAACTGCCTGACCGCACAGACACTGGAGGAGCGGGCACCCTGCGGGGCATCCCGTGGATTGGTGGGGAAGGAAGTGAGGGCCAGTTGATGGTCACATGTCACAGACATTATGGAATCATGAACTTATGTGCACCTGTGTGCGTGTGTCTGGGGGGAGGGTGCTGCGTGTGCATAGGGGGGAGCTGCGGACTCCGGACTCCATTTTGGTTATACCGGCGTGGACTTGCGGTCGAGGACAGCGTTTTGTGGTCCAGTTCGAGATGGCAACGTGACATTGCAGTGAAGGCTTCAATAAAGGACATAAATCTTAGTTCTGTGCACCTTAGACAATTCTGGAAATGAGTATCATAGGTATAACTACTTTACACAATTAGTAGCTATCGAAATATAGTCTTATTACTTTTCGTATTTGCTTAGCCTAGTAGCAAATACTTCCCATATCAAAGAAAATCCTTTAGACAGACCTTCACGCCACCATCTCTAGTTCCGCTCCGTGCTATTTCGATCATCAATCAAAGTGTTTTGTTACGACTTTTGTACGTCATGTTCATGCCCGGAGCCACCGCTCTTTGCATCCCATCCGATTCCGCTCCTTGCAGTCCCCATGTCATGTGGAGGTGTGACTGCGACACAGGAGACGACATTTATGGTGTCGTCGAGAAGGATTCCCATTACAGCCGGCAGACAATCAATCACTGGCATACCGAAATCAATTGTCGCAGCTCCTATTTTCGTTTTCAATTCCATTTCGCCAAGTATTTATGAGGAGCCTCGATTTGTAATCCTAATGAGGCGTAATTAGAAAACATTCGATTTCATTTCGTTGGCATCAATCAATGACGCTTTTTATCAGTCCTGTGACACTCGGGAGAAACTTTAACCAACTTAAGTTTCAATTTTCCAGCGCAATTTCCACATTGGTAATCCCCCTAATGCTCTCTCCCCTTCCGACATTCTATACAGAGCCCCGCCTCCAGTTTCTGTTTGTTGTCCTGATTGCTGCTTAAACTTTTCTTTCTCGGCTCTCGGCCCACTTGTTTGTGATTAAGCTTTATTGTAAAGAGGTTTTTGTGCGCCTTTTGATTTATAGATATTGGATCATAGCACTCGCCCTCCACCAACCGTGCCAGAGCAACTGTTGTGAGTCCTTTGTGGAATTGCGGAAAGGGATCTGGTAGCTAAATGTGGAAATACTCACACATAGAGAGGGTGTAACAGGATAGGATTATGCGCATATGTATCAGGAAACTTGTTTTTTCAGTAGGGGAAACTTATTCGCAAATATGCTCATATGATAATTCGAAACTTGTTTGAAGCTACCTAAATAACTTAACTTAATCAATAGTAAAAGAACTAATTTAAAAACAACAAATTTTCAATCTACAAATTTCATTAATTATAGTTTATCATAGGAGTATAGATAGCGCATTTAAT